AACACCGGTAGACGGCAGCCATTACAGACGAACGTGTTTGTTGTTGTTCGAGGAGCGGCTCGGTCACACACTAATGTCATTAGTTTGTTATCATTGCTAAGGTGCAGGAATATTTTCCCCCACTTTTTTCACATCATGTCACCTGCCTGGATCTGTTATTATCTCACTCTGAAGCACAGAGAAGTGTCACAGGTGAGCTCGTTTCAACTGCTTTTTACAACGCGGTCTCATTTCCGGACTCAATAATTTAGCCGATTATTTCAGTTAAAATACATAAGTAAAAATATTTATCTGAGTATAATACTAACCCCCAACTTTATGGATGATTTTACGGATTAAATTTTACATATTATACTTCAGTAAATACGGTAACTGAAACTAACTGAAATTATAGATAGAATATCTTTAGTTTTAGTGTTTGTCAATTTATTTTAAGCTGTGTGGACTGATTAAACTAAACTTATTTTTTCAAACCTAGCAGTTTTACATTAGCTGCGAGCACACTGCTCGATGCTAGCCTGCAAAATGACAACAACAAAAATTGGGAGAAAGCAGCAAAGTTCAATTTGGGATTTTTTTTGAATGACTGTGAGAAAAATAAAAGCAAGTGTCTTGTAGTAGAAACAGGTTGAATACTTCTCAACAGACTGTGAGTTTCTTGACAAGCTCTCTCAGTTGTCCCCATGAAAAACAAGCACCAGCCCAGCCAGGCAGCACCGGTTTGGAGACAACTATCGTTATCTTCCTAAAATAATCACCAAAGTCCTTAGTTGGCAAAATTGAGTTATGTGATTATTCTAGGAAGATGTTGCTATAATGGATTGTTTTCACTGGTGACCAAATATCTGCTGGTTAGTGAACTCACAAGAGCACCTCAGGTGGGAGGATGCCTCGGCAAATATGTTTATTCAAACTATAAAAAAAACTTATACTAGAACTAATGAAAACTAAACTAAACTAAAACTAAGCATTAAAAAAGCAATAATAGCTAATAAAAACTATCAAATCCACTGTAAAAACTAATTAAAACTGAATTAAAAGGAAAAAAAAGTCTAAACAAAATAAAACTAAACTATAATGAAAAATCCAAAACTATTAGAACCTTGCTGTGAACAGCTTCAAAAAGCAGAGTTTAAACTGATAAAAACGAGTTCACGTGAGTCGGGATCAAAAAATAAAATAAAAACCCAGAATTTCATAAAACAAACCTCGACGTAGCTTCGTGGGAAAATGCCGACTCTGCCGTGATGCTCGCCTTCGAACCAGTTCTGATCCACTTGTCGAATGATGTAAACAATGTCTCCCTTCTGAAACGGCAACTCCCTAAAAATATGTTCCAGAGAAATACAATTAACTGGACGTTATACATACTAGATTAATAATAACAATAAAATCACATTATTAGGATTAGTTTAAAGCCACTTATTGCAAAGTCATGGAAACAACAGTGGTTTTAACGGGGGCACCAGTTTTTTAAGGGTGGGCATYGCCCCCTGTTGGCCTGCACTTGTTGGTGCCCCTTCATGTAGATGGTTAATGTGTGTTAAATTAAAAATCTTCAAGGTAAATTTGTGAACAGCCTTTAACTACCAGGTATGTCAGTTTACCTGTGGAAAGAGTCAAAATGACTAAAAACAGGTCAACATTGACGTTTGGAAAAGTGTTTGTTTACGTTGAGCGCAGACCTGCATTTCAGAAGTGAGTAAAGTTTTTTCAGAGGGAAGTAGTTGATATATTTTAGCATAAAGTCAAAATATATCAACTTTTTATATCAACTTATTTTTAAGTTTGGTTTCATACTTTACAATGAGTTCCTTTAATTTGAATCATCTTCACTCACTTCAGGGATTCTGCTCTGAAGTCGAAGCGAGCCATAGCCGGAGTTCTCTGAAGACAGAAAAATACAATCAGGATGTCTTTATTTATGGTTATAATCACAAAGAATGGATGAATGGATGGATGGATGGATGTTGGTTGGATGGATGGTTGGATGGATGGATGGATGATGGATGGATAATGGATGGATGGATGGATGATGGATGGATAATGGATGGATGGATGGATGAATGGATGGATGATGGATGGATAAATGATGGATAGATGATGGATGGATAATGGATGGATGGATGGATGATGGATGGATAATGGATGGATGGATGGGTGGATAATAGATGGATGGATAATAGATGATGGATGGATGATGGATGGATGGATGGTTAGATGGATGATGGATGGATGAATATAGATGATGGATGGATGATGGATGGATGGATGGATGATGGACGGATGGATGGTCGGTTGGATGATGGATGGATGGATGGATGAATGGATGGATGGATGGATAATAGATGGATGGATGAATAATAGAGGATGGATGGATGGATGGATGGTTGGATGGATGGATGATGGATGGATGAATAATAGATGATGGATGGACGATGGATGGATGATGGATGGATGAATGGATGGATGGATGGATGGATGATATTAGATGGTTGGATGGATGGATGATGGATGGATAATAGATGTTTGGATGAATAATAGATGATGGATGGATGATGGATGGATGGATAGATGGATGGATGATGATGGATGGATGGTCGGTTGGATGATGGATGGATGGATATTGGATGGTTGGATGATGGATGGATGGATGGATGGATATTGGATGGATGATGGATGGATGGATGGATGGTCGGTTGGATGATGGATGGATGGATGGATGGATATTGGATGGATGATGGATGGATGGACAGTTTAATGGATGATGGATGGATGGATGGTCGGTTGGATGATGGATGGTTGGATGGATGGATATTGGATGGATGGTGGATGGATGGACAGTTTAATGGATGATGGATGGATGGATGGTCGGTTGGATGATGGATGGTTGGATGGATGGATATTGGATGGATGATGGATAGATGGATGGTCGGTTGGATGATGGATGGTTGGATGGATGGATATTGGATGGATGATGGATAGATGGATGGTCGGTTGGATGATGGATGGTTGGATGGATGGATATTGGATGGATGATGGATGGATGGATGGTCGGTTGGATGATAGATGGATGGATGGATGGACAGAAGGATGGATGATAGATGGATGGACAGTTTAATGGATGATGGATGGATGGACAGTTTAATGGATGATGGATGGATGGTCGGTTGGATGATGGATGGATTTCTTGAAACATTTGTTGTTTATCTGCAGCAGGTAAGATATTGCCCTCAGAGGTTATATTTTTGTTTCACCTCCACGCCTGACTTCCTCCTCTCCGTGTTGTCGGTGATGTTCAGCAGGTCTCCRAAGCGCTCGTTGGTGATGAACTGATGATGCGTGGGGACGACGCTCGTGTGTCGCCTCGACGCCGTGTCGGCCTCTTCCTGTTCTCGCTTCAGCCGTCGCTGCTCCTCTAACATTTTCTGTCAGGAAGCCAGAACAAAGACATGAATGGTCCCTGTGTTTATTTCTAAAYAATCCTGAGACATTCCTTCTCATGTTGGGATGAGTTACCTCTTTGTCTCCGTGACGCCTCCTCARCACTTCATCCTGACTTTCCTCGTGAGCCGGGGAGGAGTCTGACACAGAAACAGACATTATTACAATAAAAGCTCAACAAAAACAAAACAAATTTAGTCATATTGCAGAAAAAAACATTTAATCATGCATACTTAAAATAAACACCAACTCTTTTTGCACAACCAAGACAAAAACACAGCAGGGAAAAAAAAAGCTAAAGTCCAACCTGCATGCACAGAGGAATGAAAATAATGTCCAAACATGAGTTCATGATCGAAAGAAAGGATCAAAAATATCAAATCCACAGATCAGAAACACAAAATAAAAGTTTCAATTCAACATGACACCATGGAAGGACGGATGCAGACGATCGATCGTTAAAGTTTCATTTAGAGCTCATTAATTTGGTCATTTATTCTGAGAATTAAAGCTGGCAAAAGAGCAGGAATGTAACATTAAATCTCAATATTTAGATTTTAAATTTTATTTATTATTTATCTAACTGAGCTGCGACTGTTGGAGTCCAAACCAGCACTGTCCCTCCTCTGGACATGTCCAAACCAGCACTGTCCCTCCTCTGGACATGTCCAAACCAGCACTGTCCCTCCTCTGGACATGTCCAAACCATCTCAGTCTGGTCTCCCAGTCCTTCAACCCGTGCTGTCCTTCTGATGATCTCAGTGTTGGGCATAGCTAACCAATTTGCTGACACATAATCTGCTAACTAAAAATACAGCTTTGCTAACGCTAAGCAGCTAAACAAGTAAAAATTAGCAGAAGCTAATACTAACAGCTAACCGCTAAGACGACTGTCAGTCAGCGTCTCCTTCCAGCTGAAGACTGGTGGACCTGAAACAAACTTGTTGATGTTAGCTTGCTAGTTAGCTGTTAGCCCACTTGGAGTTGGCAAAATCAAATTTAGCAGAAGCTAATTGGTCGCTAACTGTTTTTAAAGGTTGGGGAAAAGGCTAATCCACTAAACAAAATATTAGTTCCGTTATTAGCTGTTAGCCCACCTGAAGCTGACAAAACCTAATTTAGCAGAAGCTTATTAGTCTGCTAAAACGCTAATCTACTAAACAGACAACAAGTCCTGCTATTAGTGGTTAGCTTTTAGCCCACATAAAGTTGGCAAAACCTAATTTAGCAGAAGCTTATTGGTCTGCTAAAATGCTAATCTACTAAACAGAAAACAAGTCCTGCTATTAGCGGTTAGCTTTTACCCCACATAAAGTTGGCAGAAACTAATTTAGCAGAAGATTATTGGTCTGCTAAAATGCTAATCTACTAAACAAACAAGTCCTGCTATTAGCGGTTAGCTTTTAGCCCACCAAAAGTTGGCAAAACCTAATTTTGCAGAAGCTAATTGGTCCGCTAACTGTTTTAAAAAGTTTGCGAAAAGTTTAATCCACTAAACATAATATTAGTTCCACTATTAGCTGTTAGCCCACCTAAAGTTGTCAAAATCTAATTTAGCAGAAGATAACTGGTCTGCTAAAATGCTAATCTGCTAAACAGAAAACTAGTCCTGTTATTAGCTGTTAGCTGAATCACGCTCATCACTGCCTAATCTTATCCATCCTTYGTTACCCTCGAGGAGACCCTCAACATCTTCAGCTGTGAAAGTCCAGGGATGAGACMGATCTGACCTCAGACGGTCAGAAAGTGTCTATTGAACAATCAGTAAGACTCATAAAATCATTTCAGTTTGAACCAGTAAAACACTGAGCTGCTCAGGTATCAACATTATAAGCATCACATCAGCTAAAGGACACAAATCGAGACCGGATCAGCTTTAGCTGGGCGTTCTTTGGGTGGAGCTTCCAAACAAAAGCCTCATCTTTAGGTTTTCCATCACAGTTCAACTTGTTTTTTTTAAATCTGTAGATACTGAATACTAAAGTAAACCACTAGAGGGATCCTGCGTCCCACCAGTGCTTCCTGCTTTCTTATAAACCAACCTCCACCAGCAAAGCCATTTTTATTTTTAATGATTTGTATGGGATCAATCTTGTGTCAACAGGAAGTGAATCTGAATGTGCAGAATTTGAAATAGAATGCATTGGTTTGAAAATGAGTTTCACTAAAACTGAAAGTGAATTTAAAGTTTTGTATCTGAATTAATTTGCTTTGAAACTTTATTTTAGTTTATTAAAAATTCAGTTTGACTACTTTCACTTTCAGTATAATTCAGATTTTTGTGTCA